AATTCTAGAGTGTGTGGGAGACAGAAACGAAAGAAATAGAAATCAAATATAAAGCAAGTTAAGCAACATAGGAGCAGAAGAGCACTTTTTCCGATTCTGTGGTCAGGAAAGCCTTCATTGAAAAGGTGACTTTTGAGTAGAGTGCTGAGAGAAATGAAGGAGCAGGAGAAGTGGTTTCTGGTGCAAAAGCATTTTGGGAAGAAAGGAAAGGGAATGAAAAGGCCCAAAGATGGGAAATTTCATGGGAGAATCAAGGAAATCCAGGGAGACCAGTGAGGCTGATTTCGAGGGTGAATGAGTTAGAGGGAAAGCAGTCAGTGAGGAGGCTCTCTCTTCACATGATGAAACTTTGTTTCTAATTTTTCACTGTAATGAACAAGAATACACTTTCCTTATCCAATGCAGCTAAAAGTTGGACAATGAATAGGATGCCCGAAGAAGGATCAACTGCCTTTAATCATGGTGTTGGCAGAGTATTGAATATCCCATGGACTGCCAAAAGAATAAACAGTTATGTCTTGAAGAAAGATTAATCAGATTGTTTCTTAGAGACAGGGATGGTGAAACTTCGTCTCTCTTATTTTGAGCATATTTTGAGGAGGAAGAATCAATCCTTGGAAAGAGACCATCCTGGGAAAGGTTGTGTTGTTGTTGTTGTGCCATCGAGTCACTTGTGACTCATAGCGACCCTATGTACAACAGCCCTGAAACCTGCTCTATCCTGTGCCAACGTTGCTGTCTCTGACACACCCACACTCATTACCCCAGTCACTGTATCAATCCATCTCATGAATGGTCTCCTTCTTTTTCTCCGTCCCTCCACGCTTCCAAGCATAATGTCCCTCTCCAAGGACCGGTCTCTCCTTGCAACATGGCCAAAGTATGTCAGATGAAGCCTCAGAATCCTTGCTCCAAAGAGCAGGCTCGCTTCACCCTCTCAAGGATGAACCTGTTTGTTCTCCTGGCAGTTCATGGTATATTCAACACACTTCTCCAGCACCACAGCTCAAAGGTATCAATTCTCTATCTTCCCTAGTCATTGTCCAGGTCTCTGAGGCATAGCAAGCAACTGCATAGACTATGGCCTGTATCAGGCACAATGTAGACTCCAAACTGATGTCGTTGCTCTTCAGTTCTCTGGAGAGGTCCCTGACAGACAACTTTCCCAATGCAATTCATCTCTTGACTTCCTGGATGCTGGAACCAAGAGTTTGATTGTGGAGCCAAGCAACCTAAAGCTGTTAGCAATCTCCATCTCTTCACCATGCATAATGAGGCTGCCAACTGGCCCAGTGGTGAGAATCATTTTCTTGATGTTGAACTTCAATCCATATTGAAGGCTACAGTCCTTGATCTTCTGTAGCAAGCAAAAGGTTTTTGTTGTTGTTTGATGCCGTCGAGTCGTAGACGACTCATAGTGACTCTATGAACGAATGGCCTGAGCACTGTCTGTACATAGAGTTTCCGGAGGCAAGCCATTTCGTAGGTGGATGCCGCTCCAAGCAAAAGGTAGAGAGTTAAAAAAGAGGAAGACCTTACCCAGCATGGATACATATAGGGACAGTAACAGTGGGCTGGAGCATGTCACTGATCACAAGGATGCCACAGGAAAGGGCAAAGTTCAGATAGGTTATTCATAGAGCTGCTATGAGTTATCATCGATGTGATGGCAGCTTTTGTGGCCTCATGGTAAAAAACTGCACTGCAATACCAAAGGCATGCAATTCAAATCCACCAGCTGCCCCATGGGAGAAGGATGGGCAATTAACTCACCTGTGATTAACTGCCTCTGAAAACCCACTGGACGGTCAACTATGAATCTGTTCCAACTCACAGTACTCAACAACAACGTATATAAAATTGTTCTTCAGGGTAACTATCTAAAGGTACTATTATTGATTCATAGAATATACATTTCTTTGTTTATTAAGTATTAACAAATTGTTTTCCAAAGTGTGCGTGTGGACTTCCAAGTGAGATGGTGGATTAGAGAGGACCAGGTCCTTCTCTCCAAAGACACCAGAAAAAGATAAAAGGATGATGATTCTGGAACCCTGAGTTTATAAAGAAAAGACAGAGAAGTACTTCAAACACTGACTGACATTCCTCTGATACTCTTTGCTTTTGGCCAAGATCCATTTGACATTGGTTATAATGTCTCTGGTGCCACTGCTTCTTCTAAACCCAGCCTGTATTTCTGGTAGTTCTCTGTCAATGTACTGTTCAAGTTCTTTTTGGCCAGGCAGTTGTCATCCAGATTTCCTGGCACAACTTGTGAGCACATTCAGGGCAGTGTCTGTCTGTTGAAATATATCTATTGGTATTTCATCAACTACTAGGGCATTGTTTTTTTCCCCAATTCCTTCAGGTCAGCTCAAACTTCTTCCTTCATCACCATTGCCTCTTAATCATATATTGTTTCATTAAATTCTTCTGAGTCAGCCAACTGCTTTTGGTACAGTGACTCTGTGTACTCCTTCTATTAACGCTTCCTGGATCATTCAATATTCTGCCCAGAGCACACTTAAGTATTGCAATTTGAGGCTTGAATTTGTACTTCAGTTCCTTCAGCTTAAGAAATGCTGAATGAGTTCAGCCCTTTTGATTTTCTGGCTCCAGCTCTGCACATTTCATTATAATACTTTACTTTGTCTTCCCAAGCTGCCCTTTGAATTCTTAACTTCCTAATTTCTTCCCTTTTCTTTGGCTTCTTGGCATTCTAGTCCAATCTTTAGGATCTTTTCCAACATTCATCTCATTCTTTTCTTCCTCCTCTCTCCTTGTAATGACCTACCTTTTGCATTCTTTGTTGCTGATATTCTTGGTATCCTCTCACAGCTCAACTGGTCTTCATTCATTAGTGTTCAATATGGATTGAAGCTCACCATGAAATGACAAAAATTCTCACCATGGACCAATTGGCAACACCATGATAGGTGGAGAAGAGATTGAGGTTGTTAATAACTTCAGCTTGCTCTTGGCATCAGCAGGTGGGAAATCAAAAGACAAATTGCACTGGGAAAAATCTGCTGTCAGGGACTTCTCTAGAATACTAATGAGCAATGATGTAAGTCCAGAGAGTAAAGTGCACATGATCTAGGCCATGGTCTTCACAATTACTTGCTATGCATCAAAGACCTTGACAGTGACTAAGGATGACAGAAAAATCGATGCCTTTTTAGTTGCGGTGTGTTGGAAAAGAGTACTGAACATACTATGGACCTACAAGAGAACAAACAGGTTTATCCTGAAGAGGGTGAAACCAGGCTGCTCCTTGGAGGCAAGGACTTTGAAGCTTTATCTCACATACTTTTGGTATCTGGACAGGACGTGGACCTTGGAGAAGGACATCATGTTTGGAAGAGTGGAGGGACAGTGCAGGAGAGTAAGACCCCAAATGAGATGGATTGACATAGTAACTGGGATAATGAACTGTGTGTCAGAGACAGTAGCACTGGCTCAGGATAGAGCAGAGTTCAGGACTATTGTACACAGGGTCGCTATGAGTTGCTCGCTTCTTGATGGTAACAACTGACATGCATCTTTGTCTTCTGTTCCTCTTCTGTCTTATCAATGACCTTTTTCTTTCTTCATGAATAATATTCTTTATAGTCTCCCAAAGCTCAACTGATCTTTGCTCTTTAGTGTTCAAGGCCTCAAACCTGTTTCTGAGGTGATTTTTAAGTTCAAGTTGGATAGACTCAAGGTCAAAATTTGGTTCCTGTAGATTTGATTTCTTTTTCTTTAGCTTTAGTTTGAACGTACATCTGAGTAGTTGATGGTCTGTATACTGATGCTGAAGGAAGTCCTCTAATACCATTGGGCACACACAGAAAAGCAAAACTGATGCCTGAGGAATCATTTCCCCTTCCTTATGCAGCGTCACAGACATACATAGAGTTACAGTTTTGTATACAATTTCAAGGAGTTTGTTCATGTCTGGTTAAAATATCTCCTTACCTAAAAGTAGGATTTATGTCATATATTTTAATGGTTTCAAATTTCTAGTATTGATAGGAAATGGAATGTAATGAAGTCCCCAGAATACACTCAGTACCACTCACACTCCTTTGGGTGAGATGTATTAGCTTCAATGGCTCTCATTTTCTTTCTGGGAGTGGTCTTCAGTTTAAACAACTCTTTTCCAAATCCAAGCACCTTCCATTCTGAGTATGCCCAAACTCAAACTCAACAAAGAAAATTCCAAAAAGGACATTCTTTTCTACAAGATCATTAATGTCCCAAAAGACTTCTTATCTGCCAATTTTATCTATTGTTAGCTCCTTTTATTTCTAAATACTGATGTTTGCTTTAAAAATATTTTCTTAAATGAGTTCTCATTACTTTGCAACTATCAAATTTATTTTGGATCTGACACATATACAAATACAAAGGGTAATATTGCATCAGTTCTAGTATCAGTCTGTCTCAGTAATGGACATATTTGGGAGTATTTCCTACAACCTTATGAAAGTTAAAATTATGTGTCAATTTGGCTAGGTCATGATTCTTAGTGGTTTGGTGGATAAATTAGCTTGCATTTTGTAACTATTTCATTGTCCTCCATTTTGTAATCTGATATGGGCAGTCAAACAACTGAAAAGGACATTTCTTTGGGAATTCATTCCTGCATCCAATATATCCAGATGTTGTCTGGCAAAGCTGCCCCTTCTTGATCCTGCTTCTGAAGCATTCTTCTCTGACTTCTGGCTCTTGGGCTATGAGCCAGCAGCAGCCTGCCATCCGACTTATCAATATCCAGTTTGTTAGTTCCTCCAACCACGTACATTCAGAAAGTCATTTCGCATGACACCTAACCAAAGGATTTGAGTTGTGCCAAGTTCTATAACTGAAAGAAACCTCTCTGCATATATATTTCAACTAGCTTTGCTCCTCTAGATAACTCTGTGTAAGACAAGTCTGCACAATAAAGCCCAACTTTTATTTGATGTTGTCTCCCCCATTTTAAAGAGGGGTGGTAAGCTTTCCTGTCAGCATTATCATTGTCCTGCATTTGGTGTTTCTTCTTCATTTTGATATGGAACCTCAGACTCTACACTTTCATCTTTAGTAGTAGTCACTGGACCAAACCCCAGCCTTGACTTCTCTACAGGAATCACAGTGATGTTTTGAGTGGGGGTAGACTGTCTGGAAGTTTTGTGGTTGATAAAAGAGATTATTCCTAGAGAAAAAGAAAAATTTGAGGTGAGGTTTAGTAGATGGATGGTCTTGGGATCTTAGAATTCTTATTTATCCTCCAATACTCACTGAAAAGACTTATTTTCAATAGAATTAACTTCTTCTCACCAAGTAGTTATTAGGGAGCTCTGGTAGCCTAGTGGGTAAGGAGTTTCACTGCTATCCCAAAGGCATGCAGTTCAAATTTATGAGCAGCTCTATGAGAGGAAGATAGGAAATCTCCCATGTTTTTTACAGCCTCTGAAATCCCATTTGAGGGTCAGCTATGAGTTGTTCTGACTCAATCGCACAAACCAACAAATGAGCTGCATTACCTTCCTGTGATTATATTTTATATTATATTTATTATAGTGTTTATTACATTGTGAAGACAAAGCTTAAATGTCTCAGATTCAAATCAGGATTCCATCACTTTCTATGTGGACTTGTAAAACTTATTCAATTTGTCCAGTTTTGTGACTCCACAATTCACAGTTGCTCTGTTCTAAAACTTCCCTCTCAATGTATAAACATTCTGAAAAAGAGTCATCCCGATGAGTTGAGAGCGAGTCATAGAAACCCTATGAACAATACTTCTGAACCCTGTCCATCCTGCACCATCCTCATCATCTCTAGTATCCTTTCTATCCAGAAGTGATTTCCCTTTTATCTTTCTACTGTAAGACAAGGAACTCACCAGCGAACATGTATAACAAGCAACTCCACCAGTTAAGATGATAAGGCCATAGTAGATCTGACTCCAGAACATTCTTAGTATGCCAGTTAACTTGAGACAGGAATAGTAAGAGGCAGAGAAATAAGCAAATGGCTAGAAATAAAAAGAAAGATGTCAAAGATACATCTCATCCCAGTACCAATGGCAAAGTTTAACAGGACAGCAAGCAATAAATATTTGAGAGGTTGTGGAGAGATTGGAACTTTCATACATTGTTGGGGGATTGTAAAAAAAAAAAACAAAAAAACAACCAACCAAAAACCCAAACCCCCCAAACTGTGGTACAACCACTTCGTTGGTTTTTTAAAAAATTTTCTACTAGTTCATTTACAAAATTTGAATACATTGTTTTCAAGAACAAATTCTTTCAATTACCCTCACGCCCTACCCATCAAATTGTACAACTCCATGATTAATCCTCCCTCCCCTGGTACTTGGAAGGCAGTTTGGTGTTTCTTCAAAAAGCTGAACATAGAAATTCCACATGGCCCAGTTATTCCACTGCTAGAAATAAATGGGGAAATAATAGGGTCACAGAGTTTCATGGGTAGTAGAAGGGGGTGAAGGAATTAGGAAAGATCCAATGGGGACCTAAAAAGATGGGGCAATACTGGGAATAGATTGGTTACCCATGGTGAACAGTGTTTGGTGGAGCTCCCCAATTAAAACAAGCTTGGAAGCAGGAGTGGCACCCGCTTCCATAATAGTTAGCCTCTGGAAACCCTACGAACCTGGAGAAAGGACAAAAGTTATACAGGAGGTGTCCAGAACTTTCATTCATAAGGTCCCTACGAGTCACCTGCAACTCGATGGCACTTAACAACAACAACAATTTTATAAAACTCACCATGAATTAAGGAATATGTGAAACACATGGTATATGAATGAAATGCAAGAATTTTAGGGAGCTGTGGTGGCCTAGTAGCAAGAAGCTGCACTGCAATCCCAGAGGTACACAGTTCGAATCCACCAGATGCTCTGCTGGAGAAAGAGGGGCAATCTCCTTCTGTACCAGTCAGATCCAATTTGACAGTGCACACACACACACACACACACACAATAAAATTTTTAAAAAAAAGAAATGCAAGAATTTTGTAGGTAAATCAGTATGTTGTTGTTGTTATGTGCCATCAAGTCGCTTGCGACTCATAGCGACCCTATGTACAACAGCCCTAAACTCTGCTCTGTCCTGTGCCAATCGCATGGCCTCCGACACACCCATCCCGGTTACCCCAGTTACTGAATCAATCCACCTCATAGAGGGTCTCCCCCTCCTGCGTTGTCCCTCTACTCTCCCAAGCATGATGTCTCTCTCCAAGGACCGGTCCCTCCTTACAACATGTCCAAAGTATGTCAGATGAAGCCCCAGAATTCTTGCCTCCAAGGAGCAGCCCGGTTTAATCCTCTCCTGGATGAATCTGTTTGTTTTCTTAGCAGTCCACGGCATTCAATACTCTTCTCCAGCACCACAGCTCAAAGGCATCAATTCTCCTTCTATCCTCCTTAGTCATTGTCCAACTCTCTGATGCATAACAAGTGATTGCAAAGACCATGATCTGTATTAGATACACCTTAGTCTCCAGAGTGACACCATTGCTCTTCAGTACCTTAAAGAGGTCCCTAACAGCAGACTTTCCCATCGCAATATGTCTTTTAATTTCCTGGCTGCTGGTGCCAAGAGTGTTGACTGTGGAGCAAAGCATATTAAAGCTGTTAACAGTCTCAATCTCTTCACCATCCATCCTGATGCTTCCAATTGATCCAGTGGTGAGAATCTTTGTCTTCTTGACATTGAGCCTCAATCCATATTGAAGGCTGCAGTCCTTGACCCTTGAAGCAAGTGCTTCAAATCCTCCTCAGTTTCAGCAAGCAGGGTTGTGTCATCTGCATAATGCAGATTGTTGATAGATCTTCCACCAATCCTAATGCCACACTTCTCCTCATAGAGCCTAGCCTCCCGGATAATCTGTTCTGCATACAGGTTGAAAAGGCACGGAGATAGGACACATCCCTGTCATACACCTGTCCTGATTTTGAAACATGCAGTGTTTCCTTGCTTTGTTCTGACGACTGCCTCTTGGTCCAAGTATAGGTTTCACATTAGCACAATCAAGTGTTTTGGGATTCCCATTCTTCTCAGAGTCAGCCACATTTTGTTATGATCCACACAGTCAAACGCCTTTGCAAAATCAATGAAACACAGATATACATTCTTCTGGTATTTCCTGCTTTCAGCTAAGATCCATCTAACATTAGCTACAATATCCCTAGTACCACGACCCCTTCTAAATCCAGCCTGGACTTCTGGTAGTCCTCTGCTGATGTGCTGTTCCAGTCATTTTTGGATAATCTTCAGCAGAATCTTACTTGCATGTGAAATCAATGGTATTGTTCTATAGTAAACCAATATAAAATTTAAAAAACATATGACAGCCTCCAGTATACCTTTACCACCATTTCTCAACCCAACTCTTCCTCTCCCTCCAGAGACCACATGTATGGCAAGGCTCAAAAAGTAGGTCATTTGGAGAGTTGTCTAAATGGGAGAAAGAAAAGGGAACTTATGCTAAGATGAGTTCTATATAATAAGGCAGAATAAGCAACTGGAAAGTTGGTACCACACTGAAGAAGGGAAATAGATAAGGGAAAAGCAGATGGAAGCCTGACAGAGAAGCACTGTTATCCTGACAATGCTACCAGAGAATTCTTCTTCAAACTATGTACCTGAGGTGAAGATGAGCAGGGCTACCTTCAGATCCAATTTGGTGCTCATGGTTCCTCTTCCCAGGAGGTAATCCCTGGAGAACCAGCCAATGCCGGTGAGTATGGTGATGTCAGAGATGAGATAGAAGGCCCTAGAGTATTGGAGGTAGTCTATCTGAAAGAATGGGATAAAAAAAGGCAGAATTAGGCTAGTAGAGACTACCCTTATAAGAAAGCCTGTCAGTCCTCAGAGAATGAAGCAAGGACAAAAGAGAATCAACGTGTGGCATCAGAAATACAACTAAGAAAAAAAAAAGAAATACAACTAAGGATCGTATTTCCTAGTTCTTCACTGACATGTGGAATGTAACAGAAAGATAAAACTATCATTGTTAGACTAAAGATAACACACTCCTGAGTCGGGAAATAGAAGAGATGTGACTATTTAACATTATCAGACTGGTTAAAATGTCTTATTTTGAGTCTTATTCTAAGTACATACTCAGTATAAGCATATGAAAGATTACCGAACTTCAAAGGAGCAAGAAGAAAATCAGCAGCAACCCCACTACTTAGATGCAACCATTGTCATTGTATTATTTTACTTCATTCTACCATTTTCTCCTCTTTTACAGACTAGCTATGATACTGAATAGTGTAAATTTTTTTTTTAAAAAAATCTATAAAATGATAAGGATGATCCCTGGCTACCATCACTGAACATTCTGATCAAGAATACAATAAACTATAATCATTATTGTAGAATGTGTATGAGGATCCAAGGGGAGGAGGGTGGAAGCAAATGGGTGAAGACATGCAAAGGGGGCGTTAATCATGGGGTTGTACAATCTGATGGCTGGGGGCAGTGAGGGAAATGGGAAGGATCTGGTATGGAAAACAACATAATTGAATTTTGTAAATAAACTAGTATAATTTTTAAAAAGAGAATATAAAGAAGGAAACATTTAGAATAAAATTTAAAATTCTTACACAAAGCTGACCTACTATATCCAGCCTGCGTACAGACTATAGGGGAACCCTTGAATTTCTTACCATGAAATAATTATTAAAGTTTTATCCTAAAGCCATCTTTATACCATTTAGACCAATTTGTAATATTATTTGCTTGGAGGCAAGATGATGAAGCTTGGTCTACATACTTTGGGCAGTTTGTTAGGAGAGGTAATTCCTTGGAGTGAGAAATCAATCTTGGGATGGTGAAGGAATGCAAAGGAGAGTAAGACCCTCAGCCAGGTGGATTGACACAGTGGCTGCAGCAATGGGCTTGAGCGTGCTGGAGACTGAGAGGATAGGACAGGGCTCAGATCTACTGTTCATAGGGTCACCATGAGTCATACTCCACTCGACAGCACCTAACAAGAACAATATTGAGCTCTTTTAAAGAGTATCTATCTGAGATCTAAATGATTCTAAAACATAGGTGAGAAGTTTGGGAAGCAGTGAGTTTAATCTACTGATGAAGCAATAGAAGTAGAGAGGGGAATGTGGAGACACATAGGAAGATGTTAACCAATGTCTTTGAGATGTAGAAACTGTTGTTTAGGTACAGGTTTTGTTCTATTTTCACCAAAGATGAAATAATTTTTAAAAAATTCTGAACCTCCCTCCCCATCTGTGGCCACTCAAGCAACATATCCACAACAAATCCCTTGTGCAGAGGGCCAAATATGTTGTTGCTGCCTAACTTCCGTAAGTGGAAATCCAGGGGGTGGAGGGGAACCTAGCAAGATTTTCATTCCCCAGCTGAGAAAAAGAAGTGAATGCAATATTTTTAATAAAGGGCAGAAGGGATGATAGGATCTGCTGTCTCCCAGATCATCAAACACCCGCTATAAGCGTCATTTTTAATGGAAGATACTTAACTAGATGGGTTGATACAATGACTATAATAATTGGATTAAAAATAGAGGAAGATCTGTGAAGATGAAAAAGGATCAGACCGGGTTAAGTTCTGTTGTATATGAAGTTGCTACAGATGAAAGCTGACTCAACAGCACTAACAACATTTGGTGGCTATCATATTACTGATTAATTAGTAACATATTAATATTTTGTGTGTAATGATTTTCTCAGTGATTGAATTTATAGATATCTTTTCCTTTTTTCAGTTTCAAGAGTATTTGGCATGTACCAGGCCTTGTCAGCTGTGACTACAAAAGGAAGTCATGTTTACTTTAATTCAGGCATTATAATGATTTCAAGCTGTACTGATGGAAGTTAACACCCCACAAATGTCTCCAAGTCATTTCTGAGAGTCATCCAAGATCCTATCTCACATTTGTTTAAGAATTTTACTCATTACTGTCAATTCCAACTCACAGTGACCCAATAGGACAGAAAATAACTACCCCATAGATTTTTTCCCCCCAATTTCCCAACTTGGTAAATCTTTCCTGAAGCAGGCTGCCACGTTTTTCTCCCATGGAGCAGCTGATAAGTTCTAGCCACTGACATTCTGGTCAGCGGCTGAAGGCTTACCCACAGCGACACTAGAGCTGTCTCCCTTCAAGAGCAGGCCTACTAGAATTCTGCTCTAAAATCCTCTCCCAAGTGCCCCTCTCCTGCTTTCCCCTGCCATCTCTTGGCTATAGATTTCTGGTATCACTGAGTTTGCTGCTGCATATGGGACAGTGATTAGACAACAGAGAGAGCATGCTAAACTTTATTGCTTGTAACCACATCCTCTGGTGGGTTAGTGGTATGAACTTACACTGCCAATCCAAAGGCAAATGGTTTGAATCCACCAGCGGCTCCATGTGAGGAAGATGAGCAATCTCTTCCAGGGTGATTTTTTGCCTCTGAAAACCCGCTTGGCGGGTCAGCTAGGAATTGATTCCAACTCAACAGTACTCAACACCACCAACAACCACCTCCTTACTCAAAACAGACTGTTCCCTAATTTCTCCAGCTTAAGCTATAATTTCTGCAATATTTATGTATTTAAGAAACAGTAACTTGGAACTGCTAGTAGATTGTTGTAGTTTTTCTTAGCAAGGTCTGGTGGTGTGGTGAGTTACAGGTTGGACTGCTAATTGAAAGGTCCGCTTTCAAATCCACCAGTCACATACTTTGGCATGTTGCTAGAAGAGATTATTCCTTGAAGAGAGACATCAAGCTTGGAAAAGTGAAGGGTCAGTGAAATTAGAGAAAGACCCTCAAGCAGATGGATTGACACAGTGACTGCTGCAGTGGGTTTTAGTGTGTTGGGAATGTGAGGATGGCACAGGATAGGACAGGGTTCAAATCCGTTGTTCATAGGGTTGCTATGGCTAGTATTCAACCAAATGGCACCTAAGAACAACTACTGTCACTGCAATAAGATTTACAGCCCCCAAGTAGGGAACTCTGATGGCCTAGTGGCAAGAAGCTGCGCTGCAATCCTAAAAGGTAGAAGGCTGTGCAACCTCCTCCTGTGTGATTAACAGCCTCTGAAATCCCGTTGGAGGGCCAGCTGTGGGTTGGTTCTGACTCTCTGGTACACAACAACAGGGAGCTCTGGTGGCCTAGTGCTTAGAAGCTCCATTGAAATCCTGAAAGCACACAGTTCAACTCTACCAGCTGCTTTGCGGAAGAAGGATGGACAACCTCCTTGCTTATGCCAATCAAGATGTGCCTTCTACTTGTCCTTTTGCTCTTTAGTACCTGCGACTGACTAGCATAATCAGTAGTAATAATCTCTGTGAGGAGAAATCCCTCTCCTCACTGACTTCAGACTTCCTGGAGCCATCCTCACAATGCTATGGTTGAGCCTATTGTTGCGGCTACCGACATAGACCATCTCACTGAGGGTCTCCTTCTTTTTCACCGACCCTGGACTTTACCCTGTATGAACTTGGTGACGATTATTGTGCTGTAGTTTCTTGTGTCCTGGTTCTGTGGTATCAGCCTCCTATTTAAAATTCCTACTCATCCCTTCTTCTTCCTCCTCTGCAATACCATGCAGGTCTCCCTTTCTGTGTCAACACACTCCTTTACAGTGTGATCACACCCACGCTGTGGGAAAGTTAGGGAAGAGTGTGTTCTACACTTGTATCCTACGGAGGCTAGTGCCCTCTGCTCCTCTCATGCCACCCAGCTTCATCCCATCAGCAAGGGTTACACAGTCAGGCCTTCAGTCATCTAGAGCCATGTCCGCTCGGAGACACAGAAAGAACAGTCTGAAATGAGTCCAGAACAAAAGAAAGTGAGTCACCGTGAGCCTATCTAGGAAGTCGCATGGAGTTCTCCAAAATAACTAGCAGTAGAAGGAAAGGGTCCCAAATTTCTGGAATTCAGTAGGCAAGAGCTTAAAGACTTTAAGTTTGGATAATTATGTATTTGGGCAGTAAAAACATATCATTGTCACAGGCTGATGATGCCTGTACATTTTTATTCCATCTGGGGGATTTCTTAAGAGATGTCTATTTAAATTAATTGCTTTTGTGTATCATCGAGTTAGAACCAACTCATAGCTGACCCTCCAGTGCGTTTTTAGTGGCAGTAAATTACGCAGAAGGAGTCTGTCCATCATTCTCCTGCATAGCTGCTGGTGAATTCAAACCATATGACTTTGGGGTTGGCAGTGCAACTTCTTACTACTAACTCACGACAGCTCCCTGCAAACTAATTATCAGCCTTTAAAGTACTTAACATTGGAAATTTAAAGTGGAAACTTGACTTATAATTGTATACCTAAATGACTTAATTGACTTTGTCTCATAGGTGAACCCAAAGCTCCAAGAAATAAACTATTGCTTTAAGTGGCAAATTTTCAAAATTCTAACTCATTAAAGATTTAAATAATATTCTTAAGACCTGATTTCTAGCCTGGCACCCAGTTATATAAATAACATTAACTTTTAATCATCTTGCTTAAATCTTTGGCTCTGTCTCTAATTATTTCCTTGGAATTTTTTTTAATGGAAATATAAGCTCAAAGGAGATGAACATTTTTTCATTTCTGAATATACATTACCATATTGCTTTGGTAACACCAACTTACACAGTCCCCAGTGTATATGGAAGTAGGAAGTCTTGTGCATTATCATTTTAAAATCTCTGTTAATTTGATGCTTGAAAAATTTTATCTTATAGCTCATTTGATCTACAGATTTTTTAAAAATGAGGTTAAAATTAAATCATGAACACTGTACTGAAACAGATGAAGGAAAGGAATAAGAGGTGTACAGCAAAGTGGACTTGGGGGGAGAAGGAGGAAATTATGCAACAATGAATATTATTTTAAAAGTGAACTGGAAGGGAGCTCTGGTAGCCTAGTGGCAAGAAGCTGCACTGCAATCCCAGAGGTACATGGTTCAAATCCACCAGATGCTCTGCTGGAGAAGGAGGAGCAATCTCCTTCTGTACCAGTCAGACCCGATTTGATGGTACAAGCACAAAAAATAATAAAGTAAAATAAAAAAATTTTTTAAAGTGAACTGGAGGTGGGATGGGGAGGAAAAATGCAACAATCAATGAATGAAAATCCAACTTTTCTGTAAACGTTCATTAGAATCACAATAAAAATATTGTTTTACACATACTTGTTAGACGTTTGTACTTATGAAATGTCTTTTTAAAAAACGTGTGTATAAGGGGAGCTCTAGTGGCCTAGTGGTAAGGAGCTGCAACTACAATCCCAGAGGCACACGGTTCGAAGCCACCAGAGGCTCTGCCGGGGAAGGAGGAACAATCTCCTCCTGTACCAACCAGTCAGATCTGATTTGACGGTACACTCACACAAAAATAATAAAATAAAAAAAATTTTAAAAAAAGTGTGTATATGAATCATTGTCTCTTATTAATTTGCAAATCCTTTATATACACATAAACCATTATGCTCTTATCTTTCATATTTGTTGCAAGTATTTTCACTAGGTTGTTTTTTTTTCTTTTTAGTTGAAGATAGAGTTCTGTTGCATTGCCTGCCTACCTGCATTTGGTTTAATTTCATCTCAAGATGATGCTTTGGGATCCTGCCTCTTAGATCCAAATGATGCCACAGCTCTTAACAACAACAACAAGAAGTAACACTGTAATTAGGCCTAGGTTTCGAATATATCACAGATCACGAGCATCAGATGGGGCAAGGTTCCCATCTACTGTTCATAGGGCTTATCTGTTGTTCATAGGGTCATTTTTGACTCAGCAGCACATTACAACAACACTTCTCCTATCATTTGTGATCTCAATTATCAAAAAGGAGAAAAAAATTACTTATTGCATATTTTCTTAATAATTCCTATTTCTTTATCTAAGTCTATACTTTACAAGCAATGGGAAAATTGTTTCCTGTAGTCCTATTTTTCCTTTAACACATTCATTTTGATTAAAAAAAATTTCATGTATATATCTCTCAAACCTATGACATGGGTCAGATTTCGTTTCTGCTTCTTATTCCCGATCTGGTCAAACCAGGAAGAAATGGCCCACATTTTCAGCATCCACCCTTCTCTGGATCCTCCCAGCTCTTTCATCAAACAGATCTAAACAAGCTGACTTGGAAAGTTAAATCTCAAGGAGGCTGAGACACTTTGCTTCCTCTTCAAGGTGTGATCAACCACTGTCCTTGTTTCCACCAGCCATATTATCGTATCAATCACATTATTTCACTTTAACACTTTGGAAGAGACAAAGGAATTCTTCCCAGAAAGAAAAAGGAGTATCAAGTCATTATTCAGGAGGGGAGCAGCCTAAGGTAGGAGGGAGAAAGGATAAAAAGAAGACATCAGAAGAAAAGATCCCTACATTAATTCACATTTTGACCGAGGTCCAACCTGAGCTTGGAGAAGTGAAATCTAAAAGATCTTGGAGGAAGAGAGATGAAAGGCTGATGTGGCAGAAAGTCCTGGCACAGTGGTGCCTGCAGGAGTTAACTTATTGGCACTCACGGGGGGGCTTGGGTGTGTGGCTCCAGCACAGTTCATGTTTGCATGTGGTCCAGAGTCCTGCGTAGAGCACGTGGCCATTCTTGATTACCAGGAACTGCACCCAGTTCAGAGGGGACATGCAGATCAGGATTAGGAGGCCAAAAACACAGAGAGTGCCACAGAACAAGCGGGTATAGGTGCGTATCTGTTCCAAATGCTGCTGCCGCCTCTGGGATGACATCGAGGCACTGGCATGTTGGCTGATGGGGAGGGTAGGCTACAAGGATGAGGAGAACGAGGGAAACATTGCCTACCTCCAAAAGAGAACCCTGCTCCCACAATCTGCTACCTCTTTTCTACCTCATTTCCTGATGTGGGTCAGACTTATGGAGTATCTTTACTTCCACCTTTTTTTTTTAAATCAGTGTGTTCTTTTTCATCTGTCTGTAGGAGACTGTCTAGCTCTGTCTTTAAATAAGTCTTCTTCCTCCCCTCCGACCTACAATGAAGAATCTCCTCACCCTTTGGTAGTTCCGATCACCCTTAATTTTGGGAACCTGAGGACTGTAGAAGGTCAAGGTTATATGGTCCTTCCTCTCCATCTTGGCAGCCAGTTCACTTTCTAACTGCCACGGAATTTGGCTCAGCACCCCCTCGCTCGTGATGACAGAATCAAGAGAGACCAGAACCTATGACATGGCTCAGATTTCATTTCTGCTTCTTATTCCCAATCTGGCCAAACCAGGAAGAAATGGCCCACATTTTCAGCATCCACACTTCTCTGGATCCTCCCAGCTCTTTCATCAAAAAGATCCAAGAAAAATTTCTCAGCAGTTGCTGTGTGTGAAGACTATGTTAGGTCCTGGAACTAATAAGTCATGATTCTCTCCAGGAAGATTAAAAAAACAAAACAAAACATTTGTTGCTGTTAGGTGCCATTGAATTGCCTACAAACCACAGTGAATCTGTAAACAACAAATTGAAAGTATAACATGGATATTTAAAAAAAAAAACAACCCATGGATATTTCTAGGACTCAGTACTTTGTGGTTGTAATTAATAAAGTCATGTATGTTTCAGAAGATCAGAGTCATGTTCTTAGCCAAACTCTTGTATGGAAGGCCTCCATATGTCCCAACAGACTCATAAGCTAGTTCACTCTTTTTAATACTCTCCACGCTTGAAGACATTTGAGTGCTATACATCATTGGTATAGCAGCAGTCAAGAAATCGAAAGATGTGTTGCACTGGGGAAATATTCTGTCAAGGATCTCTCCAAAGTACTAAAGAGCAACGATGCCAGTTTAAAAACTACAGCACTCTTTATCCAAGCCATCATCTTTTCAATTGCTTTCTTTTTTTCCCCAATTGCTTTCTATGCACCTGGAAGTTAAACACAGAATAAGATCAAAGAAGAACCAATGCCTTTCAATGGTGGTGTTGGTGAAGAGTATTGAATATTTCATGGCTAAACAAATTAATCTTGGAGGAAATGCAACCAGAGTGCTCAGTAGAGGCAAGGATGGTGAAACTTCTTCTCACGTACTTTGGGTATTGTTTTAGGAAGGGCCAGTCCTTGGAGAAAGACGTCACTCTAGAAAATGTAGATAGTCAGTGAACGAGAGGAAGACTCTCAAGGAGATGGACTGACACGGCATCTGCCCCAATGGACTTGAACATGACAGATGGCAAAGATGGTGCAGGGTGGGGAATGTTTCAGATCTACTGTTCATAGGGTCATTACAGGCAACAGTCGATTCAGCCGCATCTATCAACAACATACCACTGCCACACATTTCAGAGCAACCAAATGGAAGATTATTATGAATCTGAATCAAGTCACTGCAATGGGAGTGGGTCTCTACTGCAGAAAGGACCCACTGTGAAAATGCCAGTATCCACAGCCCAGGGGGCTACCAGCTAAAATGCTGAAAGCTGCCACTTTCCAAGATACTGCAGTAGCTCTGGGTTCTCTGGGGAAGAGATGAGTGGCCTCTTCTTGGCTCCAAAGAAGCACAACTTGTGTCCAAATTATCCAAGTCTTCTTCTTAAATAGCTCTCTCGCTCTCAGATCCTAACTTCTCTTCTCACAAGGGCTCAGAACCAATCCAAGATGCTGGATGATGCCGTCTTGTTCCACAGCATGATCAACCAGGTTACAGATATTTAAGTCTCTCTCTCTCTCCTTTCTAAAAACAGATATATAAGCATACCTGGAGATAATGTAGGCTTGGTTCCAGACCACTGCAAAAAACAAATTTTGCGATAAAGAAAATAATACTTTTGTTTCCTTTTTCTATGCATACAGAAGTTAGGTTTTCACTTCACCGAAGACGACATTCAGATGGCTAACAAGCACATGAAGAAATGCTCAAAATCCCTAGCCCTAAGAGAGATGCAAATTAAAACAACTATGAG